AGATCCTGAACCAAACTTCTCAAACTTCAGAGCATCAGTATTTCTGAATGGTTCTCATCAGAAGTGTTTTTAAGAGCACTTAAGACGAAAAGGCTCTTTTTTTTCTATTATCAGTAATGCCAAGGAGAGTCAGAATTAATCATAGAATCTTTGGGTTTGAAGGGATTTTTTAAGGTCATCTAGTCCAATCCCCCTGCAGTAAGCAGGGACATCATCAACTAGAGCCTCATCCAACCTCACCCTGAATGCTTCCAGGGATGGGGCATGTACCACCTCTCTAGGTTCCAATATTCCTCAACCTGTTCCAGTGTCTCACCACACTCACTGTGAAAAATTTCTTCCTTGGATCTAGCCAAAATCTACACTCTTCTAGTTTAAAACCATTACCCCTTGTTTCATTGCAACTGGCCCCGCTAAAAAGTTTGTGCCCATCTTTCTCATAAGCCCCCTTTAAGTACTGAAAGGCCACTATAAGGTCTCCCCGGAGCCTTCTCTTCTCCAGGCTGAACAACCCCAACTCTCTCAGCCTGTCCTCACAGGAGAGGTGTTCCAGCCCTCTGACCATTTTGCTGGTCCTCCTCTGGACCCGCTCCAACAGGTCCATGTCTGTCCTGTGCTGAGGGCTCCAGAGCTGGACACAGGACTCCAGGTGGGGTCTCACCAAAGCGGAGTAGAGGGGCAGAATCACCTCCCTCAACCTGCCGGCCATGCTGCTTTGGATGCAGCCCAGGATACAGTTGGCCTTACTGGGCTGCGAGCGCACATTGCCGGCTCATGTCCAGCTTTTCATCCACCAGTGCCCTCAAGTCCTTCTCGGCAGGGCTGCTCTCGATCCCTTCATCACCCAGCCTGTACAGATACCAGGGGTTGCCCTGACCCAGGTGTAGGGCCCTGCACTTGGCCTTGTTGAACCTCATGAAGTTCACACAGGCCCATTTCTCGAGCTGGTCCAGGTCCCTCTGGATGGCATCCTATCCCTCAGGCTTGTCAACCGCACCACTCAGCTTCGTGTCATTGGCAACCTTGCTGAGGGCGCACTAGATCCCACTGTCTATGTCATTGATGAAGATATTAAACAGTATCTGTCCCAATATGGACTCCTGAAGGACATCACTTGTCACCGATCTCCATCTAGATATTCAGCCATTGACTACTCCCCTCTGGATGTGACCATCCAGACAATTCCTCAATCCACTGAACAGTCCACCCATCAAATCCGTATCTCCCCAATTTAGAAAGAAGGACGTTGTGGGGACCATGTCAAAGGCCTTACAGAAGTCCAGAGAGGTGACATTGGTAGCTCTTCCCTTGTCTGCTGATGGGGTCACTCCATCATAGAAGGCCACTAGGTTGGTCAGGCAGAACTCGCCCTTCGTGAAGCCATGCTGGCTGTCCCAAATGACTTCCCTGTCATCCATGAGCCTTAGCATAGCTGCTAGGAGGATCTGTTCCATGATCTTCCCAGGCACAGAGGTGAGTCTGATGGGTCAGTAGTTCCCAGGGTCCTCCTTGCTACCTTTTTTAAAAATGGGTTCAATGTTTCCCTTTTTCCAGTCTCCAGGGACTTCACCCGACTGCCAGGATTCTTCAAATATC